GTACAAAGTGCATTCAATAAACGCAAATATAACGCTTCTTGCATACACAGTGCGGAATATGTATACCGATCCGTTTGGCATTGGTCCATAGAAGGTGTATTCCACTTCGTGTCATATGATAAAACTCTATGTACATCAGTGCAAGTTTTTTAATCATAATGTATTAGATTGAGGTTAGGTCGGAATGCTGCCTCTGACAGAACATATTCAATCAAATGAAGAAACATAACAATTTCAGTAATTGTTTATTAGATGCACAAATTGATTCGATGCTTATCATTGAATTAGTTATATTTGTACATACAGAATACCCATTAAAGATAGAAAATACAGTTGTATATACAAGAAGAAAATACAATCGAAAACTATTAATGAAATGCTTCGTATATTCGTCTATTTGCTAAACGTAGAAGAATTTAACTTTGACAAGAATCTAAGAAATACATAAAACTATGTAATTAATGTTGTGGAATATTAGACACATTTTTAATTTCCTCAATAAAAGAAATATTGGAAACTCTTTGCAAGGAGAGAAATGAACACCTTCGATCATTGTTTCACTTTTTCATTCTGTATTTTGCAAATAAATAAAGACGTATATTCTAATGCTAATGCTTTACGTTAAATATCTATAATAAACTCATCTATTCTCTTTATTTTACTATTTGTGAAAACATTTCTTATATTCACTCCGCAAATAATGTTTACTATAGACGTTTATTTTGTTCGATTGAATACTTTTTTGCAGGAGTATTACAACTAAGCCTCGCCTCGCACATTACATCACACAATTTTTATACACTACCGCTCACAAGCATATATAATGTATTAAAATGTTGTAAGTAATAACTAGAATCATTTTTATTACCTTTTTATGAAATTACGAGTTCTTAGATTTGCTTGTATTTAAAAAAATCTTACCAATAGTTTGTTGAACTTAAATACTCGATTGTTTAATCTACTCGCCGGTTTTAGATATCAATACTTTAATTACTTGCTGCAATTTGTGTAGCAATTTTTTAATTGTCTGTGAATGAACTTCTTTTAACGTTCAGAAGAATTCTATTTATTGTACCCATTCCGTGGACAAATAACCTGAAAACAGAATATATTAATGAAGAGACACTTAGCGACTTAAATTTTGTAATTTTATGTTAGTTATAAAGTTTATACGGGATAACAAAGCAAAGTAGTAACAAACAAAAGAAAATGATTGTAGAACCTTTCATCTGTGATTTAAATTACACTTTGTTAAAAGTAAGTATCACCGGCATGCCTTTTGAGTGTAGAAGGAAAGTTTCTTTTTTCATTTCATTATGAGAATTTTAAATAAATTATTATGAATTTTGCTTACTTTAAGACCCTTATTGTGAAGAAAACTTGTTCTTTGATGTTCGTGTTCAACAGCGCTTTGTACATATATTATTAAATATTTTATTTTTTTCTCTTCTGTTCTGTTTATTAGTCTTCATTTGGTAATAATCTGATTTTTAAAACGCGATCCTCACGATAAAGAAAAATTGTAAATGTTGGAAGAGAAATTCTAAGGATTCTACAATTAATTAAATATTTCTTAATGTTGAGTAAATCTGGCCGGAAGTGAGATGTTATAACAACATAGCGTATAAAATTCATATTTTGATGTTTTCATTTTTCTATGTCCGTGAATTAATTATTTTAATATAACCAATGGCTTAACTGTTTATTTTCTTGAACTGATACTTTAATGGGTTTTAATGTATTTTCTTCAATAAATTAACAGTTACTTTCACAATGCTCGAATGATTATTGCCACTAGGGGCATAAACCATTAAGCTATGTGTGGCAAAGGTCATTGAAACAATGAATTTAATTTAAAAAGTAAATTTTTTGAACTACTATTATATTCGGCGTACATTGGATTAATCACTTGACTTAGATCACAAACATTTGAGATACATGTGTTTAAACTATTTGAAATATTATAGAGGATGTATTTAATGTTTTTAGTACTTGATAGAGAAAACGTTAAATATTTAACGTCTTAATAGCATTTTCATTTTAAGAGTACTTCCCCCTATTGATATATCCTATCAGTTTACCGATTTGTTACCGTCTCCAACTGAAATGCAAATGCTATCTAAGCGACCAGTTTGTTTATACACGTGGAACGTTTACATTTACATTCATCTCTGTAGCCGTCATCGTGTGATATTGTTAAGATATACGTATTCAACTATCTTCCCACAAACGTAAAAATCGTTACACAAAATACAGTTACACGAATTTTATAATTCTTTTATATAGATTTTGTCCATAAGTATTATACTCAACAACTGTGAAATAATCTTACTGGTGGTCTTGAATACACGTTATCAGAGGAATGTTAAAGTTGAATAGTAAATACCTCTGCTAGAATGAAGTAATAAAAATGATGCAAGAGATGTATTCCATAGAAAGCAAAGACAGTGTTTTAATATTTTTGAAAGGGAGTGTACCTGATGGTACAATATACCAAAATTTTCAAAAATGTAACGTTCACCGAAGTTGCACAAGGGACAGGTTTGTCTGGTTTCGAAGAATAACGATCATTTTCTAATCTCGACGTTGTATCATCGAATCATTTAGTTAGTTCTCACACTGACAGACTTTCGGAATCGCGTGTTTCGCGGGAGATCGGTTCGTTTCGGTGGGAATCGGCTCGCTTCGCTCGAGCGAACATCGCGGTACCAACATCCTTCGTCATCGGTGCCTCTCTTTTTCTTGCCATTCCACCATTTCCCTTGTTCACCGTGGTGCCCCTTCTTGCATTCGTTCGTTCGTTCGTTCGTTACGTTGCCTAGCCCTGGGAATGCGCGGTCGCTGTACCTCTCTCTTTCTCCCGTGCGCTTGCCTGCCAGCCGGCTTGTTCCCTCCCTCCGTTTCTCTCTCTCTCTCGTTCCATCTCTGTTTCACTCGCTCACGCGTCTTATTGACCCGGACCCGGTTCTCGTCTCCTCTCTCTCGATTCGCCGGGTTTGCCTCCGACTCACCCGCCTCTTGATTGGGGGTTGAGTGGGAAGAAAGGAAGCCCGATGTATAAATCCCATGATATACATTTTCATTTTCTCTCGTCTATGCGTCACTTAAAAAAAAAAGAAGAAACAAAACTCCAAATTACTCCCCGGTCCCGCGTCGTCTCGTTGGCGTCGGACATTTCCAGCGTGGTTTCGTTCAACGTATAACGTGGCCACACGTGCCGATATTTCTCATGATACAATTTCGTAATGGACCTGATTTGTTCTGGCATTAATCGGCAATTCTAATTGAACATTTATTAAATTTACTTTGTGTGAACGACATTAAGATTTGTCAGTTATAAATTTTGTAGTATAAGATTTGTAAAGACAATCATTTAACAAAATTTCGAACGATAGATTGTGAACAAATAATTGTCATAAAGTAGTTAGTCATTAAGTACATTTGCGGTAAAACATAATTCACTAATGCCGATTTTGTATTTTAACGGAAATTATTGAATAAGTACTTCCATTCATCAGCTGCAATTTTAACTAATAGCTGCTTCAACCACACGACTCGTAGGAGAATATAAATATAAAATGAAGTATTGAATTAACCATACAAAATTTTCATGCATTGATCAAATGTAGAAACTTAATAATTTTGGAAAAAAAACGTGTATAGGGAATACAATGACTGAAAGGTGCCAAGTTAATATTCTATACATGTATATGTACAGTTGATACACCCAAGGAGAATATACGCCAACTCGAAGCTGAATTTCGTTCAATTAAAAGAAAATTTTCAAGGTTTCCCCCGTAACTCGATTCTTTGCAATTTAAAAGTTCTTCCATATCGACTGACAAGTGACATAGAGGAGCAAGCGTTCTTCGGTCGGTAAAGCCGGCTTGACACGCAGGAAAAAGGGTGCGCGAAAAGCAGGAAGTGCCAATGTGGAGCAAATTCCAGTGGCCGTAGCAGTGTAACGAAACTAAGAAGGGTAAAAAAAGGCGCGAGAAGAAAGAGCGCACGGCGACAAGTCAGAGTTGGCGTATCTTCCTCTCCCTTTCGCTCTCTTTCTCTGCCTAAAAGTTGACCTCGAGTTTCAAGGGTAGAGAAGGGTTTGCAGTCGTTTGCCCCTCTACCTTACCAGGGACTACGAGCCATGGCTCTCGAATTCTCTACGAACGGAAGAGAGAAAGCGGCGTTGCCTCGACGTTAGCCGTGGTAGTCTCCCGCCATCCCCACCACCGGTATAATGTAGTTCGATTGGTCGACGTGCTCGGGTTTTCCTTTGTGAGCGGGCGGGTGAAAGCGTGGCTTGGCAACGCTGTACGAGTTCGCCGGCGTCCGCTGGAAGGAAGGCTAAGCTCGTACGGGAGGGAGAAGGACAGAGGAACGCCGAGAAAGAGACAAACAGACAAGTAGCGAGTGAGACTTCGGGTCGAATGGAAGGGGATCGAGTTTGAGAAAGAGAAAGAGAGAATATACAAGCGTCCAGCCAGCCCGTCCTCGCCAGGTTCGCCCTCTGTGTGTGCGGCATCGCGTGTAGAGTCGGTGGCGAGAGAAGCAATCCGCGCGTAAGCTTCTCCATGTGAAAAAGCTATTACGCGTTCCACTACCACTGTGCAGCAGCCAACGTCGGTGTGCATATACACGTAAAAGAAGCATTGCGTCTCTACGCGCGCGTGGTGTCGCATAGAGTGCGTAATTAGCAGCGTGTGTACAAGCAAGTAAAAGAGACGTCCCATTTCCAACGAAGAAAACGCCGATATACGTATATCCCCGCATAAAGGAGGAGAACAGTGAACGTGTAAATGAATGAGAATAGTATTTTCTTATGCTTAAATATTTTGATTAAAATAACACCAAGAAGGAACGCTGTGTTTCTCGAATGAAAATCTCCATGAGTACTTAGGGGAGGGCAGAAAGGAGAAAAAGAGAGAGAGAGGGAGTGAGAAAGGAGAACGGAGAGAGGAGAGACAGCAAGAGAAAGAGAGAGAAAAAGAGAGACTTCACGGAGCTAACGAACGGTTGAGCGTAGCGTCGAGTAGACCGCATCCCAAGTATAACGTACGTATTCACGAGGACCTTCTCCTATACATCGTGGAAAAAGCGTGTATGAAGTCGCTTGTGCTACCAGGAGTACTAGTAGTGATCGTGTAGTGCGCCGGCTGGACAAGAGAAACGTGGTGTGACGACAGTGAGAGAGCACGGTAGCGCGTGCGGTGCGTGTCGCGATACACGACGGCTACGAACAAGACTCCATACGAATGTGAGGGTACGTGTGCGTTTACGTGTGGTGTGCGTGCATACACCTTGTGAGAGCGAGCGAGCGAGTGGAGCGAACGAGCGAGTGCGTGCGTGCGTACGCGCGCGCGCAACGTGTGCGTGCCTGTATGTCCTGTACGAGGGAGACAGAGGAGCGTATGCGTGGTGGTGTGAGTGCGTGAGTCGTGTAATTTCTTCGTGCGTCCTTCTTCTTTTCGTTGTTGGTGGGACGGTTCGACAAACCAGGCCGAAGTGACAGACAGATCGTCCGCGTGTACGATATGTCGGAACACCACCGCGTAGCCGGTGGCTGGGGCACAGCAAGCCCAGGAAGCCGCGAGGATGGCTCCGGTGGTACCGCCTGGTGGCCTTCAGGTTTAAACGCGGTCTCAGCCGAACAACAACAGCAACAACAGCAGCAACAACAACAGAATCTACATCAACATCTGATGAACCAACAGCAACAGCTATCGCAACAACAGCAGGCGCAACAGCAACAGCATCATCAGGATATCGTTAGAAGTACCGCCGCCGCAACCCAGCAGCTTTTCTCCTACAAGATGGCCTCCAGCTTTCAGAACCCAGCCACCACGGGCACGCAGTCGAACGTTTCGACGTCTACGCCGGTTGGTTCCTGCATGAGGGGAGGCTATGATTATAGATTAGCAACCGGGACTGGCGGAGGTGTACCTGGTACACCTTCCGCACCACCGCCTGGCGTACAGTGGTGGTACCCAGGTGGAGTTATGGACGCCGGACAGAACAACCTGCATCAGCAATTGCAGGGCCAACAACAGCAGCAGCACCTCTCGTCCATTACCACACAAACGTCCACGCCCCCCGTTATGTCCCCGGTATGTTGCGACCACGATCGACCCCCTTTCATATGCTTTTCTTCTTTTCTCGTTCTTGCCTGCTTCTGATTTTTATTCTTTCCGTTTTTCTTTTTGTTCACTTTGATTTTTTTTTACCTTACCGCCACATGTATATTTTCGCTTCCTTTAAGCATTCGGTACTCAGAGCCGGGGATCGGTTTCAGTGTTTCTTATCAATCGATCTTGCAGTCCTGTTTAACCTATAGATTCAACGCTCATAACTAGCAACACATTGCAGTTCTTATATATTAGTATTTTTTCCTTTCCTTGCGTAGAGAAGACCATGTTTCTGTCGATAATTTTTGTTACTACTTGCTCGCAACATAGTACTAATTTTTTGTTTTAGCATTTCTTTGTCAATAGGCTTGATCATATACATAGTTTGGCGATCGTAGTAACTACTCGATTTTATTGTACTTTCTGTTTGAAAATCACTAACTATTCGATTTCAACTAGCCTGGTCTACCATCGGAATTTTATTATGTCTTTACAGTAAAAATAAGGATAACAAGTTACGCTCGTAATTATTCATTCGATCTTATCAATATATATAGGATTTACAGGAAGATATAAATAATTTTAAACCTTTCATCACAAATCTTTGAAACCGTTGCCATCAACGTGGTTACGTATATATTGACTTCTCCGTTAAATATTTACATTCGTTATACCCTTGTTTACCTAGGGCTAGAGAACTATTTACACCAGCGCTCTGAAGGGAGCAAGCTGTTTTGAGAATTTTGCCACCGGACATATATGTTCAAATTCCAGACGAAATTCCTTAAAAGTTGAGTCTTCAATTCGTATTTCTGTTCGACATACTATAATTTTTTTTTATACAAAATTGCTTTCTTTTATAAAAATATTCGTAACATATCATACTGATCGAATTGATTAAATATTAAAAGGTACTTTCGTCGTGTTCAGAAAATCTTAATAACCGATTCTATCGTGGCTGCTTTCGCACTACCGTCTGCGTTTCATCCTGACTCGCGTCCCTTGCCCCACCGACCGTTGTCCGCTATTGATTCCGGGTTTCGTGCGGCCTTCTTCGTATGTACGTTCGTACAGCGGCTCTTGCCGCACCGGGCCCGGTTCCTTTCTTTTTTTTTCCATTACGACGATCGACGTCTTCCAGTTACTTATAATTGAAAATTAATATTCGAAAAAACGAACAGAATTTTCTCCCTTCACGGGTTTTCATGAAAGGGAATCCTGGTTTTCGTAATTTTTCGGAATTTAAAAATTCATCTTTAGGTCGCCCATTTTGTGCTTGCTTCCTTCTAAAAATAAAAGTTTTAGTAAATGATCGTTTCTTAATTTTCTTAAAACAGAAATTTTTTTATATTTTTCTGTGCTTCGATACAAGACCATATTCGTGGTCCTGTTTTTAGTCACTCACATTTACCACCAGTAGATATTGTAACGTTAGTTTGAATTGATAATGTAGAAAAGAATGAAAATTTTTTCTTTGTTTTGAAAGAAGGAAAGATTCTGGTTTCTGGTGATGTAATTACCAGTTATGTTCTTCATTTCTGTTGATTTTATTTTATATTGTAATTAAATATTTTAAAGGAATATCACTTTTGAAAGATTCTTCTATTTGGCAGGAAAAAAGTTTAATTTGCTTTTCTTCTGAAGACTATAAATGTACGCATATGTTCACATTTACGACTTGCAATTTAGACTTTCGTAATTGGATACAAAAGTTTCGATCAATAGCCTCCCTATATGCTATGAAAAGGGGCATTCTTTGCTCCGGCTGAAAATTGAAGAATTCATTTTTTAGGGGCTTTGGATACTTGAAAATTCCATTTTTCTTCGCATTGTCGTCCTTTGCAATTGGAAACAAATATTGTCTACAATTGGCAATCATTGGTCTTTTATCTGTGCTTTTATCTACAATAATTAAGAAGTTTAGGGCGTTTATAAGACTTAGAAATTAATCTCTGTCTTTTCAATTAGAATTTTAAAAAAATTTTCAGTTACTTTTCTCGATAATGAACATTTTCCAGATGTGTTCATATATGTCCCTTTTTCATAATGAAAGATACATCGCGATTAATATTTACGTATTCGTTATAAAAAAGATATTTTATATGTAATTTTTATATGTTAGAATGCATTTAATAAGTTCATCAGTGTTGGTTTCGAGAAGACACTTAAATAATTTTTATGAATATTTGAAGATATAAAATATGTCTACATGTGATTTCAATATCTGAACAGTGATTATGTTTAATCTGATTGCATAAAGAGCTCAATTAACACTCTCCAGGTGCAGCCCGAAACAATTGATACAAAAGGGAACGTATTTATAAAATTCATTTCATATAAAATTTTCATACTCTGTAGTATAATTTTATATATACGGTATTTCAAAAGGAAAAGTATTTCTTCGCGTATTCCATCAACAAATCTATTTTTTGAACTTATTTCTCTTACTCTCTCCATTTTGTAAAATTTATTCGTGTTTTTGCAACAGCAAGTATTAAACTGTAAACGATGTTAAATTCAGAATTTTTAAATTTCGGCATAAAGTTTGGTTATGTTCCACGTTCACCTAAACTTTTTTTTAACGTTGTTAATGTAGGGATTATATATGCAATACAAACGATCTATGGATTTACAATTCTATCTTGCCTTCTAGTTTAATGAGAGAAGATCGTAGTTATTAATGCAGTTCAACGTTAAGTCCCCTTACTATGTAACGTCTAATGGAAAAACTTAATTGCCGGTATATGAATTATTTAACATTCAGGAATTGTGGTTGTACGATTCTGGTTATAACGTATGTCTATAAAGATTCTGTTGGGATATGAGACGATCATTGAATAGAAATCATTTATTGGTAATCTATTGAATCCCTTTATTATCAACTCTTCAATTAATTATATTAAAATTGATATATGTCCTGGACGTTACTGAAACAAAATGATTTTCATACAAGATATAAATCTTATTCGATGAAAGGTAATTTTCAAATAATTGTACACATTTTAATCGTTGAACAAAGTACACTGTTCGCTCGTGGATTATTTCATTATTTTGTTCTTATATAGATGATATTTTCTCTTACATTTTAGTTGAATAAAGCTATAAGTTTATAGAAATAATTTTACAAATAGCTTATATCTTTATTCCAACTACGTATAGTATTCTATACAAAAATTGAACTGCTCAATGTCTATGTTGAAATTAACGATTCGATTTAAATATTGATTTGTTAGCTAATTTCACAGTAATATAAATAAACAATCGTTTAGTTTCGTTAAAGTCAATATTTTTCCAGAGTTTTTAGGTAATAAAGCATTCAAAGTGATTGATCATCTCCAATACTTCAGACATTCAATCATTTTGGATACTTCGTCATCACTTTAAAAATAATTCATGAAAACTGTTTACTTTATTGGAACTAAAAGATCTTTTAGTTATATTAATTTGAAATGTGTTAATAGTTGGTGAATGTTCATGTATTCACATCATCCTCAAATCTCAGACGTCTGCACAAAGGTAGTAAAGTAAAAATTTGAATAGAGTTTTATTCTATTCATTTTGTTATTATAGACATACTAAAGACCCAAGTACAAGGAATTCTATTCAATTTTGATTTTTACATATCAGTGTCTAAAATTGTGAATTTGCATGAACGTACACAGTCTATGAATGAATCATGGTATTTTTTCATTATTGAAAGAACATTAATAACTTGTAACAGATAATTTATGTCCAGGCCTGGTATATACACATTGTTCATGTATACTGCTTCGGTAATGGGTATGTAATTGTAGTCGGAAAATAGTTGTCACGCTACCGGTTTTTGCAATTCGGTAGAAGTGATCATAACAGTTTTTGCATCTACGTTGCCCGGCAATATCGACCGCGTAGAATAATAGCAGCCTGCGTAAACATTCTTATCTTCGAGACACAGTCCTATGTTAAATTCAAATTCGTTACAGGATGTCAACAAATCTGACGAGCTATAATATATACAGGGTGACTGAAAATACGGTTGTATAAACGAAAGTAGACGAAAAACGGCCAGTCAATAATTAGTTCATGTATCAACCATTAACAGTAATGTTAATGGAAAATATTCAAGTCTACCTTCAGCAAAACGTACATCATAGAAAAACAGTAAACTATACTGTTGAAACACGAGCTTTCGAAACATTCCTCGTCCGTATGAGATAAGTGAGCCTCTCAGGAGTTGAAATGGTTAGCACCGCGAAAGAAACAGTGGAGAAAATTGATGATGCTATAAATACCGTTATCTTTTTTTAAGTTGAGTTTGAAACACGTGAATAAACGAATTTCTTGTTAGGAATTAGAGGCGAGGTATAAATATTGGATTCACGTATGAGAATATCTTTCGGCATAGACGGTGGAAATTTAATAAGTCGATAATTAAATACGAATAATGAAAAAAATATTTAATAACCAATTAAGTTTTCAGAAATTAATTTACGAATTTAAATGAAAAAAGAACCTGATAACTTTTGTTTTTGATTTCTAAAATTGTATAAATTACACTTTTCTAAATAGCATTTACGTACAGTATTCATTATTATTAAATTTAGTAATAAATACTGTTGAAATTAAAACTTTTTTTTAACAATTTACAAACATTTAACTATTCAACATATTTTCGTCATGCACGGGCGGAAGATATTTATGACTCAAATTAATATTAAAGATAGAGCTTTTATATTGTTAACATTACAATGGAAATTCTTAAATTTAGAAATTTACAGAGAATTGTGCAGCATAATGAATGATTTTGTCGCGAATTTCTTCAGTTATTTAAGATAAATAATACAATAATTATACAGCATTAGGTATTTCAAAAATTAATGGACTAATGTTTATGGTTTCTCGTGATGTTAATATCACATCAAAACTTTCTTGCATAATTGAACTAATATTATTAGTGAAATTTTGCAAGTCACAATGTGAAAGTCCCCAACGCTAATAAATTC